GAAGTGAATTAAACTGCAATTCATCGAGTGGCCCCATGAGGCTGGCTGCAAAAGCGAGTCAAATCTGTATCTCCCCCAAGTTAAAATGTCTAACTTCACAGCAGAAAAAAAACATGTTTACAGCCTGGTGGCAAATACATGGATTAAAGTGAAAAAAATTCTTCTGACTAAAATTTTTTTCAGGCCAAGTCATATTCCTGTAACTTTATTTAAATAGTCGAGACCAATGGCGTTTTAAGGGGAGAAGTTTAAAACCGGTCTAATATTGCCAGTTTGCGTAATTTAAAAGCTATTTTAATCTATGAAAAACAATTACTTATCTTGACAAATAATCAACCATATACATAACTTTTCAGAGCATGTTTTTATTTATCTTATAAGACCAAACAATGTTAAACTATATTAATATATAGTTTGTGCCATGGCAAATTGTTTTGGCTGAGGGCAAAGTGAAGTTTTATAACTTTATTATGTAGGCTATTTAACTTTAACTTTGTAGCCTGAATTGTTTGCTTTATTTCTCATTGTATAGCTTATTATAGCCTACCTATTAGGCTACTTATACTTTGGAACAGGATATTAGCATTAAAACTGACATTTAACAAAAAAGAGACATGGTTGTGTAATTTTATATATTCTAAAATATATAAAATATTATATTACTATGCATTCTCTTCACTGTATGTGTACGCATAATACAATAAAACGATACAACCCTGTCTGTTTGTTAAATGTCAGTTTTAATGATAAATAATGTTTCATATTTTTAAAATGAAAACAAAAAGAAGCAGGTTTGTGTTTTAGCTATATTTCGTGTTGTTATAAATATATGATAATCAATGTGCGTTGCCTGAACCACATTTGTGTGGCCATTTGTATATGTTTATGATAATAATTATGTTCATTTATAAATGAAAAGAGGCACAGTGGTGTTGATGAAAAAAGGCAGAGTTGATAACCGGAGTAGCCGCGTGCTGAGTGACGCGATCAAGAACGCGCTGTTAGCAGCGTCCTCTCGAGTTTGTTCTCCCAGGTCAAACTTGGCAAATCCGAACTACCAAGGACGCAAGTCCGAAGTTTGCGTACTTGGTATTGAGAAACGACCAATATTGACCCGCGTTCTGTTTTCTATCATGGGACCGTAGCAAACAAGCTGTAGCCTCGCCTGACAAGATTGAGTGAAGAGGGTCCAGGGAGCATTTTTTTCCGTGAGCGGGAATTGAAAAACCGGAGTGGACCATGAGCAAAGTGATTACAGAATGCTTAGAGTGGAGACAGGAACATGCTTTCGCCCCACTCCAGGCTTTATCACCCCCCCCCCCACCCCACCCCCCCACCCCCCAGCAGGGTGAATACGCATCATCTTTCCTTAATTTAAGACCTATTCAAACTAAAATTAAGACATTTATCACACTGTCATTTCCGAGCAAAGGAACTACTCCTCCCATAAACCACCGCGCCTCACTGAAGTCGTCTGAAAACCACCGTGAAAGAGCCTTTTGAGCGACTTCCAAATCTGACGACGGGCACGTGAACTTTTTCCTCCAGTGAATTTTATGTACAGGGAAACCCCTTTTCCTCGATTTACTGAAGCAAACGCATTTGCAGCTCAAAATGCAAAAACATTGAGTATCTGGCTCGCTCATTAGCTAAGCTGTGGCAACTGCACATCCAATGGCGCGCGGGCGTCTCAGAAGTGCGACCAATGAACTTAGCCCTACGTCATCACGAGATCTTCAGTCTTCACGTACCTTCGCGGGGTTTCAGACACGTGACACGACTTCCACCAATCAGATGCATCACTGTTGGATTGTGGGATTGTTCAGGATTGTGGGTAATGAAGTACTTATCCAATACATCGCGAATAAAAGGCATTTATCTTAAAACAAGGTTAGTGCCCCATGAACTTTTGGCATTTATATGAGCACATACAATCGCTTAGTACAGCCATAGCTGGTTTTAAGTCTACCATGTACGGTTACGTTTTTATGGCTTATATCTCAAATGTCAATGGAAAAATTGTATTGAATTTTTACTTCCGGCACCGGCTGTGGGCGGGACTGTGATGCTCTATTGACGGATATCCGTCATAGACTCGCTGCAATTAACGGAAATCCGTCGTAGCGACGGAGAACTTTAATCCCTGCAAATAGTTGTCTTGGTCTATATCGCTAATTTTGCCCTTCATGACGACTGTGAGGGGGGTGAATTTTTTTACAACTCATCTGTTTAAATTATATTTAAAGGATAACTAAACACCAAAACAACTTTTTTTAGTTAATGATCTGTAAGAATGGAGCTTCATAAATGCTGTTCATTGATTCGAGTAAATTTTTTGACAATTGAGTATAAAGTATTTTGATTTTCAAATATATGGTGTAAAAACGTCTGAGTGCTGCCCTCTTCAGGTTAAACGGAAAGCTCCTGCTGTAGGGGTACTTCCTGACGTAGGGAACTCTCTGACGCCACTCTGTCACGCCCTTGGTGCGAGCTCACCACGCCCTTGGCAGCCCCTGGTATAAAAGCATCTGGTTCCGTCAAAACTACTGTAGCGAGTCAGGAGTTGGATTTATGAGTATTGAAAACGATCAGGATAGCATATATTAGCATCTAGTTAGCATAGCATTTATATAGTTATTTATGAAAACAATCAGGATAGAGTATTGTTGCATCTATTTAGCATAGCATTATATAGATAATTGAGATTATTTTGTGTAGCTAGTAGCATAGTACAGTTAGGATAGCTTCAAGTTAGCATAGATTTATCAGTGTTTAGTACAGTGATCAGGATAGTAACGGAATAGAGGTGGACATGGGCTTCTCCACACACAGTGCCAAACACTGCTCCTCCTGCATGGACTCCTCCACCGCAGCGGCGTCTTGATGTGAGTGATCATGGATATTTTAATCACAATTTATGGTTAGGATAAAGTTAATCCTCTGGGGTCGACAAACGAGTCGGCGCATTTTGCTGGATTTTTTCACATAGCGGCAGAATATCAATATGAATATATGCCCACAGAGCGCGCGCTATTGAGATCAACTCGACGACAAAACTCATCAGATGCCGGTCGCGATACGGGAGTTAAGACCGCAGTTTGAGCCAGCGGCTCGAATAAATTTGGCCCTGTGTCTACATACAATTCACCCTCATCCACTTCAGGTGAAGGTGAGGGAGAAAAGTCTTCGACTTCAAATGGCCGCTCTGTTGCAAAGGCAGCTACTTGCGTCACTCCAGTCTCTCTCTATTTTAGAGTCTGACAGCAGCTGTCACTCACGGCGGGTCTCAGGTGCACGCCCCCTGGCCCCGCTGGGGTCTGCCCATTTTTTCAGCATTTTTCAAATATTGCTAGTGGGTGGAGTCAGGCTCTGACCAGGGGTTTAGTTACCCTTTAAGCCTTAAAGTTCTGCATAACTAAGGGCGTGGCCACTTGAGTGACAGGTGGATTCTTGCCGCCGCTTTCACTGCTAGTCGTTTGTCTGCTGTCTGTTAGCGTCACCCTCAGCTGTGTTTGTGCTTTTTCCGGGATTATTTCATACAACTTAATACATGTTATTATACCTTCGCCGTGCTCGCCGTTGGATTCCGTCGTGTTGAGTATTGAGAAAACAACCAGCGCTGTGTTTCCAACTGTTTCCCTCGCATGCACTAATGGATGTCTGATAATTTCAGTGCTTTCTCTCCATCCATGCAATAGATGCACACCCTTGAATGAGCGCGGATTTTTAGTTCATTTACTGTTTTTACCATCTGAGAAACTGAGAGGCGGCCAAAATCAGATTGTAAAATGGACTGAATTAAAGCTCTTTACAAACTTGACGTGAGATGCCGACTGACATGTGCTTGCCTTGAATAACTGTCACATGCACAAGCTTAGAGCAATATTGTAAGTAACTAATACATTTTTAACTAGCATAATAATAATGCATCACGATGCACATAGTTGACTGCTTGTATGTTGTGAGAAATGTGTGTGATCTGTGTTATGTACTTGTATACATGCTCTTAACTTATTACCCCTTGTGAGATTAATAAAGTTGATAAAAAAGTAAAGTAAATAGTCTCACTTTTAGTTACGTCTTAACTATTATAATATTTCGAAGGGCAAAAACATGAATTTTAACCATTGGCTTTACTTTTTCAATCAGATGTAACTTCAGCGTGAGGGCAGTAGCATATAGCATTAGTACCTCAGCTCCACCCGCGTCCCGCCTCTGTGCCCATTTTAATTTATCCGGTAGTGACGAGAGGTGACGCACTGCCAAGATGGCGACGGCCGGCCCCGCCCACTTTAGGCTTCAAAAACGCTCTTCAGAAACCTATGGGCAACGTCACGGACACTACGTCCATATTTTTTTACAGTCTATGGTAACAGTTTGGCTGGTGGTTATGTTCCCCGCATACCGCCTCCCATGACCAAAACTGGTATTATGACACCTGTAGGGCTGTGGCTAGTAATTTAGCATGCTTAATTCAGGTTGATGTCTCTGCAGCACTATAACATGTCGTTTTTTAATTCATCATCGCTTTCATTTCTTCTCAATAGGCTTGTTCGACTTCATGCAGCTCTTCACAGACCAATAGGCGGCTAACTTGAAACAGTGCATGCCGGTTAGAAATTTTGTCCGACTTGATGCAGCGCCGACTCCACGTGACTGTGACATATGCCATCAAAGTACCGCGAGAGCGATACGAGAGTAGCCGGAGTTTATGTGTCACTAAGCTCCAGGAAAAAGCTCTTATTGATAAAGCAGACTGACAAGGAGGAAAAAGAAGAGGAAATGCTGGAAACATGAAGATAAGGAAGAAGGTGGGTTTAAGGTCCTTCAACACCAGTCATGCTAATAACACTATACATGGTATGGAAAGCATCACAAGTAGCAGGAAACCAATTAACAGATGACATAACCATAGGAATGGATCTGTAAGCTGGAGTCAAGACACCAGTGGAATAGTGTTAGTTTACTGATCTGAAATTAGGTATGAGATGATACTATACCAATGATCACATGCATGTCCAGGCTGACCAGATGTCTGGAAATCTCATATCCCATTCCTCTGGCTCCCCCTGTAACTATGGCAACCTTTCCATTCTGCTTGGGCAAATCTGTGCAAGACAGAAAGCAAGAAAATTATGGGAAAAAAATGTAATGCATAATATTACAAAAACTAGTTGTTTTACACTGACACTGTCTTTGATTGGGACATAGGCCCTAGTCTTTCATCTCTCTGTGGGTGTTTTTTTTTTTTTTTTGTATGTGCAGTGGCCTCAGAGAGCATTAAATGTAGAACTGCATGATATGTTTTGTGATAAGCCTACTAGTGATACCATTCCTTCACTCTTTTGCTTAATGGGTATTATTTATTAATACTAATTAGTAATACTGATAAACAAGTTAACTTGTCCAAGATGTTTTACTGGCCAATAAGTGAGATTATGACAATCATCACTGATAAGCAGTCACTTTTTGTTACTATTTCCATGTTAAAATGTTTCCAGTTAAACTCAAATAATATTAAGTTAATTATGCATTAACTGTAAGGCTTATATTTTATAGCCATCACACAAAATATATTTTTTTTAAAAGTCTTAAAAATCAGTGTTCCTTAATCATGTTTCTTTCTTCTTCTTTTTTTTCTCTAGTAAGTTAGCTAATCCTGTGGGCTTCAAAAGCTTTAAATATTTCTGAATCAAAAGACCATTGTGAGGAAGGATTTGGGTCTAATCCTCGTGCTTTGCACTGAGACATGGTTGCCCTTTAACGGTGGTTTAAGTTGAAGTAGCTTATGACTGTCTACAATTGCAACCAAGCAATCGAGTAGAAACTTGAGATTAATAAATAATAATATTTATAATTGTATGATTATAAATAAAGTATAGAGTATAGATAGAAGAAGAATATAGTGTCAGAAGTGTAGAAGAAGAATATAGTGTAAGAAACAGAAAGCAATCAATCTCAACAAACGCGATTTTTAACAGCCATATAATACAACGGTCATACGAACTGTAGTATAATGTAAAGAAAAAGTTGAAGTAGTTCGCTCAACAAAAAAAAGTTAATATTTTTACTCACTATTCAAACGCGCATTAACTGTCATTTATTCACTCTCTTCAGTTTTTGGACCGAACAGTCTCAGTTCATCCACATTCATTACAACTGTTGTTTCATACAACTAACGTGAATGACTGATCCTTCTGCCGCGCACAACTCATAAAGTCTTTCGTGTTTATCGGTTTTGAAAATGAATGCGATTCAGAACGTTTGTTTTTTTGGGTGAACTTTCCGTTAAGCGCAGCAAAGTTACCATAAGACTGTAGCTGCTAGACACATAAAATAACAAACGTTACCCGTTAGACAACTGCAAAACCGTAACGATAAAAACCTCTAACCTGGCAGTTTGAACGATTTGTTGAAAAGCTGGTATAGGAGAACTTTGACGCCGTCTAAGTAGAGTCTGATGAAGCCGAAGACACAAGGCAAAAACCACCACATGATTGAAGATGACAGGGAGTGTCTCAATATTTACGCTCCGTGCTGAAGTACAGCAGGATCGGATCATCTGTTCTTACGATAGTTCCGCTGTGTGCGACAAGCAATGTAGACACCCAATTGAGTCTGGACTCCGATTTACAACGGGGATTAACCACTGCCAGGAAAAAAAAAAAAAAAAGAAAAATAAATGCAGCTGGTGAAGATTACTAAAAGACAGAGGATAATGATTTGAAAATGTTTCTAGATTTAGCTAGGCTAGGCTAAGTTAAGAGTTTAAAGTTACCAGTAAGAGAGCTGGCCAATATAATAGGCTACAGACAAACTGTAGAGACTCTATAGCAAATATACAGTAATAACAAATAAGATAAAACAATTGTTGAATATAATAGGCCAGGTAGCTATTTTTAACCACCCAATTTGGTACAGTAATCAGATTTTATAGTGGCAGATTTATTTAGAGGCAGAATAAACCACCATAACCAGATGTTGTACAGTGGAGTGGAGGTTCCACTCTCCCACAACTATTTACAGAAACTATTACACCAGGAAGACAGGGTTGACATGATAAGGTTGCTACTGTAGAGACTTCAATATTGATTGTAGATCAAGATTTACTTGGTTGTATTGTTTGATATACACATCTCTGCCTTTCAGTTTAAATGTACATTTTTGATATTGTTGCATTTTTAAACACTTTTTGGCAATTTTACATTGTGACCTCATGCTGAGGTCAGGTTAAATTACATGTATTTCCAAGTATAGAGCATGTGTAACCCCTCAACCAGGTCCTACTGGGTCATGGGTCTCCAGCGCATAGATATATAAAGGCTAGATGTGTTACAGCGGAGTTTCCATCATCATCACCGGCGGCCATCTTGTCACAGACAAGCTGATGTAAGATGAGTGGTCAGCACGAACACAAATACTCTTATCTCTTTGAAATCTTGACAGATTTACAAACATCTTTGGTTTCTTACAAACGTTATTAACGTGGTTATAATTATCTGGATGATTATGTATTTATAAACTTTTTAAACATAAGTATGCAGTGTCATAACTACATCTCTGACGTTTATAACAAAACAAACCGTTTGAAAATCTGTAGAAAATTGAGCAAGTTATGGTCATTTAAATAGTACATGTACCATTAGCACAACAAGATGGCCGCCAGGCGCAGACGTCGACCTCCATTGGCCAGCAGTGTGGACGACATATCTAGCCTTTATATACATATCTATGCTCCAGCGTGGGTCGCCAGGCACTCTAACGGAGGCTGAAACTGCAGCCTCTGGCATTAGTCGCGAGCACCTCTTGAGATCAGGAGTGAGGCTTTTATTTGCACAGCTCTCACTAGTTTGACTCTGTTACACATGTATTTGAAATTATGTTAACACAATTATTTTAAAATAAAACCAATATTTCCTTTGGATGTAACTTTTTAAAGGTGCTCTAAGCGATGTCACGTGTTTTTTAGAGCAAAATATTTTTTTTGTAACATACAGCAAACATCTCCTCAAAATCCGCTAGCTGTCTGTCCCTTTTACACACTGTAAAAAAAAAAAAAATAAATAAATAAAAAAAACCGTGGTCTCTGTAGATATCCCAGGTTTCACAAACAGCAACAAAAACAAACTGGGGCATCCTGCTCCACGAAACAAAACAGTGTTCCTGCCAATAACCGACCAGATTGATTTGGGGGTGGGGTTAGTGTACGTAGCCTACACATGAAGAGGTGTGTGGAGAAGAGAGAAGCTTGAAGAGGGAAGTTAGAAAAAAATCTCTTTAAGTTTGATTTGACCAACACACAAGCAAAGAGATGACGTTCTGATGAATAGATTGCAAAAATGCAAAGAAGAGAGGAAAGGAGAAGGAATGTATGTCCGAATTTACATTGGAAAAGTCTTTGAAAGATGGCAGAAGGGCTTCCATTTCCGACATTCAGATTAGCTCTGTTTTTGCTGGACAGGTGGATAAATCCAGCTTGTTTTTTTTACTAAATGGATCCATGTGTCCTATAACAAACACAAGGTTATTAGCTAGAACAATGCTGTCAGTGCTGACTTTGGTGAATACAACTAGGTTTCAGCTATAGCTATCAATCTCTATTGTAAATAATCAAGAGTAGGGCGACAGTTTGTGTGAATGATTGGTTTCACCAACTGTTTGTTATGAATTTGTATTTTCATTCATAGCCTATTGACAACTTTGACTAAATTTGTAGCTAACGTTATCTTGCTATTATTGAGTCCTTGTATGGGAGCTAAAGTAAGAACCTCAGGTGGCGAAACATTTTATCGTGTTTTTCTGGTAATGTTTCCTTTTTTGCATTATAGGAAAGCATTTATCTAACTTGGCAACATTACACCTTGAATAAAGTAACAGTAAAACTACAGGGGGAGGGGATGGGTTGAGGAGGAGGCAGCGTCTAGCTAGCCTCAGTTTTGTTTGACAATACTTCGAACGTTTACAAGAAGTGACATCACCGAACATCGCTTAGAGCACCTTTAAAGGGATAGTTCACTTTGAAATTATTTTTTGATATGTTTTAGCTTACCTCAAGGGCATCCGAGATGTAGGTGTCTTTGTTTCCACAGTATTTTCAATTTTGATATTGTTAGGTCAAACCGTTCTTGTCTATCAGTCATATTATGGAGATTTATGGGGTCCACCTCAAAGAGCATGCACAGAGAAGTCCAAATTAAACATGATTTAATGACTCGTAAATGTAAGTGATGGCCTAAGACACAAAACATATTTAAAACATATTTAGATATATCGAAATCATCTTGCGATTTCCTGTATATCTAAATATGTTTAGATCTTCACAGTGAAAGGTAAAAGTGAAAGGGTTGTGATGTACATGCACAAGAGATCACTTCCGGCGGATGCGCAGACCGAAGCGCCCGTGCCTTCAGATCAGTTGGACATGGCTATGATTACAAGAGGTAAAAATGATATAAATACTGTTCGTTTTCTCACACAAACCGCTCGTTTCGTGTCTTAGGCCATCAATGTGTACTTACATTTACGAGTCATGTTTAATTTGGACTTTTCTGTGCATGCTCTTTGAGGTGGGGCCCATAAATCTCCATTATATGACTGATAGATAACAACGATTTGACCTAAAAATATCAAAATTGAAAATACTGTGGAAACAAAGACACCTACATCTTGGATGCCCTTGAGGTAAGCTAAAACATTTCAAAAATTAATTTCAAAGTGAACTATCATTTTAAGAATTTTTATTTTTATGAATATCTTTATTTTTAACATAATGAGGACTTTTGTGTGTTTTGTCCCTTATCAGTGATTAGTGACAATATGTATTGTGTAGTTCACCCAAAATAAAAATTACTGTGTGGAAAAAAAAAAAAAAAAAAAATATATATATATATATATATATATATAGAGAGAGAGAGAGAGAGAGAGAGAGAGAGAGAGAGAGAGAGAGAGAGAGATGGGGGGCCGTAGAGGACGAGCTGCACTTCCTCACCGAGTGCAGCAAGTATAAAAACATCAGAGACGCTTATTTCACACAAATAGCACAGATTGTACCTCAATTCCAACAAGCGAGCCCCATAAACAAACTGTCTTATATTTTGGGAGAAAAAGAAGAGTGTGTTCACCTGGCAGCGCAGTACGTGTCCTCCTGCCATTTTATCTACATATGTTTATATTACTATTGCTTTGGCAATATTGTGCTATTTTACAGTCATGCCAATAAAGCTCAATTGAGAGAGAGAGAGAGAGAGAGAGAGAGAGAGAGAGTTTTAGAGTCAGTGCTACATTGAACTACTATATATAATGAATAATAATGCAATGGGGGACTATTTGTGTCACAACAAAAAAATACATCCATCGCCACAAACAGGGAGACAGTCGAAAAAAGTGATCTCAAGCCTCATTAGAGAGGGGAAAAAGGTAACAGTTGGAACAGTTAAAAAGATCCAGAAATCATACTCAATTCAGATTAAATCACAGGAAATAGCTAATTTTCAAAGGGACATAATCATGCTTGAGCCTTTCAAACTGACAGAGGAAGAAAAACAACACCACCTTTCCAGGGTAGTCCTGATAATGCCAAATGTCTTATGTTAAAAAGTCTAAATTATTTTAAATAAGCCTATATCTAGTCAGTGACAGAGTGCAAGCATATTCATCTTAAACAATTCTGTATTTTTAACTTCAGAATCATTAATATTTTTATTCTAGTGTCCAAATTTTACGGTGCATTAGGTTGCTAGAACCAAGTCCAAGCTTAATAATTTTTAGACCTACAATGTAAAACCAAATTTAGCATTTTACAACAGTCCATTTGCTGCGTCCCAATTCGCATGCTATCAGTCCTAAATAGAATTCGAAAATAGAATTAGTACTTCCCAAATCGTAGTATGTTGAAATGAGTGTTTCAAAGATATCCGGATGGTCTACTATATCCGGTCAGAATCCGAAGTGTAGATCGATGCACACTCTAACGGCTGATATTGCCCACAAACCATTGCGCGGTGGACGAGGATTCGGTTAGAACTACAAACACGAGTAAAAAAGTGTTAAAAAAAACTACAGACGGAGGACGCGCGAGTCCTGAAAATGAATTTATTCAATGTTGTCCACATTATATTGCATAAGCAGAAGCATTGTGAACTTTTGTAAAGATACGTTTAGCCATTACTTTTTAAATGCATCATTATATTTAAATTGCAAACACAAGGGAGAGTCTCCTGAAAGACACGACTGGCAGATGAATGTGCTCCGAAACGATAGGAAAAAAAATTAGACAGAATGGAGGATTTTAACTGTGACAAGATGATTGACAGGGCAGTTTACGGTGACAGGATGCACACAGCACGCGACAGATCTGTCCGTTAAAGATGACGTGATAGTAGTATGTCCCAAAGCTTGCCTACTCTTTTGCTACACTCAAAAGTATGTACTTTTTCTTCACAAAAAGAGTACATACTTTTAGGGCGTAGTATTAGTAAGCGAATTGGGACGCAGCAATGGTAACAGAAAAGTGGCTTAAAAACAAAGGACATGTGACTAAGAATGCAAACAGAAGATAAAAACAGAATCAAATGTGACAAGACTTAGGAATTTTTTTCAATTTTGTGGAATTGCACACACAAGAACTACCACTGTGGCAGCTATAATTAC